GACTTTATTCCAATATTCTACAGATGCTATTGATTTGATCCACATTAAAATATATAAAGTATGAAAATAAAATATATAATATGAAGGAGAATACTTCTCAGAAAGGTGATTCATTATTCTACAGTAATATATTATATATGGAATAGTGTGAATTTACTATAACAAAATAATTTATAAAGTAAAATGCTTCTTATTTGTAATCGTTCTATTTATTTGTGAAATAATAATTTAAAATAATTTAGACCAAATTGTAATATTTTTTGTACCATAATCATTAATATTAGATTAATAGCCTTTTCAAAGGCAGCTGGACATATTTAACAGGAAACTCATTACTTAACCATGTCGATCCATTAAAACCTACAAAGAAAGCTTATGAGAAATGTTTATGTACATATTAAATTCAATTACAATATAGAATTATTACAAGCCATAATACAATTTATTATCCTAATACATTCAATATTATTACGCAATATTCAATATTATTATAAATTATTATATACCTCTTCTTCCTGCTAAAAAAATGTTTGCATAGATCGCATAGGTAACATCCTATTCTGATAGAACCCGATGAGCGTTACATCAATACATTGCGTATGATTTTGGAAGGATGAAAACAAAAGTCCCAAATTTTTTAAAATAGCTATAAATTCAAATCGTTTGTTTTATTTATAGTTTACAAATACTTACAATTTACACTCACTCGTGTTCGGATCTTTATTGCAAAACCATAAATCAGATAGTTTTTTAATTTATTTCAACATTCAATTTTCAGCCTTTAAGGTCCTTCAAAGCCAGACTTCGTCATGTATGCATGTCTTAGTGGGTTACAGACATTTACTCGTTCTCTTCACATGTTACCCGTCATTTTTAAACCGGGCTTCAGTATATATAAGTGTCATTCCTAAGTATTTGATATGATATTAATAATTGTACATTACTAGCAAAATAAACAAAACGGCAATATACATATATATATTTACTATATTTACACTATAAATATAGTATTTGTACTATAAATATAGTACAGTATAATATGATCGGAGTACGTTCAGCTATAGAACAATAAATTTAACTTCAGCTGGTAAATTATCGAATTAACAGTTTTGGATCTATAGATTAATAATGTGTAATAATATTTTTATATAACGTGTACCTAATGATTTCAAGATCAATTTTAAATTGTTGAAGAAATATTTTATCAATTTTAAATAATATCTTTAAACCATACATTTGTGTACAAACCTACACATAGTCGGCAGTTGTGTCTTAACAAGTATAAGTAATATATATTGAGAACATAAAACGGGAAATTCAAAATGAAAACCAAACTTATCGACACTCTTTCCTTTTCTTCTATATTTTTATTTACTTTGGCTTAAATGCCCTCATCAAAATGGCAGATTTAATCCAACAGTAATTCATTCATGTATGTTAAATATCTCATATGAATGTAGGGTATGAAATAATAAACCGTATGCTTCAGAAATCTATGTAGTTTATATAAAATTTGCTTAAATATAAAATGTGTAAAAAATTCACGGATAAATACGAAACACTTATGATCAAAACCTCATATTTGCTGCATTACCTCTACGGATTTACGTTTAATAGCGTCTATCGTTATTTCCATATATGTACACACCTAAATTCAAAAATATATTGTAAAACGTTTTTTAATAAAAACTATTACCTTATTGAATCTAATGGACTACTTACAGATTTAAATATCTGTATGACACTTAATCGGCATATATCATATATATAATGCTCAGTATGTAATTTTACTTTAAGTAAATTAATTGTGTAACATTAAGTTACACACTATCT